GTACTATCATACCGTATACAGGTAATAAATTTCCTTTATTTTCATTTAACAATAAATGTGTACCGTATTCTTCTTCATGGAAAAATAAGACATCCCCTGAAAATAAGACCTAGCGCATCTTTGGGAGCAAAAATTAATATAAGACACTGTCTTATTTTCAGGGAAATAGGGTATGTTATAGGCCAATTAAACTTAAAAAAATCAAAATAAAGTGTAAAAAAAAAACACACCCTCCCCCCCTTCCTTGACTGCCCCGGGCTTCCAAGATCCCCCTGCTGGTCTTTAGTGCAATCGTTTTCATGTGTAAATGAGATTGGACCATGCCTCACATGGATGTTTTCATAGGTGAAATGATGCACCTGAGATTTGCTATCAAAGATCCCAGGAAAACAGGAGGGCGTAGATGGTGGGATTGGCAGAGCGTCACGATGGAAGCTGGTGAGGGCCTCAGAGGGGCTTCTTCTAAGATACCACGTTTAGCTCATGACCCAGTTTTTGCTTAACTTTTGAAAATGTCGCTTTGGCCGAGTTCCCCATTGGTCTGGACACCATGAGCTGCTCCCCCGGGAACGGCTTGGGCCTGGTTTCCTGTCCTGCAGGGCCTGAGGTGCTGCTTTCTAGGAAGCCACAGGACTGGTCCTGGGGAGTCTCCTGCTGATGCTCAAAACGGGGCGTTTTCTCCTCCCGCCCTGGCTGTGGGCAGGCGCCCTGAGGCTGTCTCCTACTGTGCTCCCTGGGCACTTTGCACCATGGCAGTTCCAAGACGGACTTCTGGGTCCCACAGGAGGGAAGGGGCAGGTGGCAGCTCAGAGTGGTGAGAATTGTGGGAACACCAACATTCCATCAGGTCAGCATCATTTCAGAGCTGGCGGGGGCCGCAGAGGTCAGTGCGTTACTCTAAGAAAGAGACAGCATCAAGCGATGCCCTCTGCAAGCAGCCGCTGACATGCCTGGCGCTGACACCCACCCACAGGCGGAGAAGTATCTTCGGCTCACGGGCACCATTCCTGCACGCTGGCATCATGGGCTACATGGGCACCTGGGCGCCTTTTCCTTTATTTTTTGCTGTGTGTGAACTTCGGTTTATACCACCTCCACCCTCTGGGCTTGGCCCAGTTCCACGGCCTTGCTAACACTGGGCAAGTTCAACTGGGTCCGTCTGGGTGGACTGAACCCATCAGCCATCACATCAGACCATCACCCTGTTGAAAGTTTTATCTACTTGTGCTCATCCACTTAGGGTGGGTGAAAATGTCAAGATGCGGCTAGAGCATTCCTTAGGAAAGAATGCGTCATGGCCGGGACCGGTTTGGCTCAATGGATAGAGCGTCGGCTTGGGGACTGAAGGGTCCTGGGTTCGATTCCGGTCAAGGGCATGTACCTTGGTTGCGGACACATCCCCAGTGGGGGGTGTGCAAGAGGCAGCTGATCGATGACTCTCTCTCATCGATGTTTCTATCTCTCTATCTCTCTCCCTTCCTCTCTGTATAAAATCAATAAAATATATTAAAAAAAAAAAAAAAAGAATGCGTCATGTAAGGTGTGGTCAGGAGCACAGGCTCGGAGACGAACCTACAACACCCCTTCTCTTCATCTCCTTGGCGAAGGAGACGGGCCTAGGCTTCTGACATTGAACCTTGGTTCCGGGGGATGCTCAGTTCTGGAGGTTGGAAATCTGAGATGAAGGCGCCAGCGTGTCGGGGGAGGGCTCTCGGTGGGGTTGCAGACTGCTGCTCATATCCTCCCGTGGTGGAAGGGCCCGAACCTCTTCTCTGGAAGGTTTGATGCTCCTGGTTGTCCACTCAGCTGGTAAATAGAAAAAAAAAAACATCTCCAAGTGCGTACACACAACTGAAGGAAGCTGATGAAGCGGCCTTGAAGGGACTTACTGCAAGTCTGTTCGCAGCGTGAACGTGATGCCACGTGAGGGGTGAAGGAGCACGAAGCGACACAACAGCCTCGAACACACACAACACCAGCCTCCCACACTGCCCACACTCTCACTTTACAAAAGCAAATTATGAGAAAGGCCCGGTGCCGGATAAACAACGGCATATGTTCTTCCTCCCTGGAGGTCACGACAGTTCACATGTATTCCCCCATGAAGTTCATTGTTCTAATGTTCAGCATCCAGAGGAAGTTCTGTCTTTGAAGACACCCAGGACTGCGCTATTATGCTGTGGCATTACAGCATCCTTGGTCCTGGGGGGAAAGTCAAGCAGCTCGTTCAATGTACAAAGTTATTGATCCATAAATGGCACGACATAGGGCCATGTCACCACAGCTGGCTCTTCTGGGAGGATCCCCCAGGCCTTCCCAGTGGGCCTGACGTCAATATACTCAAAGCTGCCCAGCCAGCATGGCTCAGTGGTTGACTGTCAACCTATGAATCAGGAGGTCATGGTTGGATTCCTGGTCGGGGCACATGCCCGGGTTGCGGGCTCAATTCCCAGTGTGGGACGTGCAGGAGGCAGCTAATCAGTGATTCTCTCTTATCATTGATGTTTCTTTCTCACCTTCTTCCTTCCTCTCTGAAATAAATTTAAAAATAAACACACACACACACACACACACATAGCTGTGTAGGGTATGTGCACTTCTAGGTAGAGGGGCAACAGACGATGAGAGAAATTTCTAGCATCGGAACTTTTCTGCAGCTCCCACAATATTTCAGATGAACTAACTATAGTTTTCCAGGAGATGTCAAAGCTAAATTTTGACAGCTTAAGCTACTTCTAGATCATTATTTTTCAGTTCTGCTCCAACTTTTAGGTTCCATAAAGCTAAGGAGGGAAAATAATGACCCAATTTCTATGACCTGAGATTCTAACTTTTCATTCGTTCAGCAAATAGAGAAAAAATTACTGGGTGCCAGGCTTTGCAACCCTTCCCATCTTCAAAAAGTTGGCGTCAGTAATGATGTCCAGAGCTGTAGGATGTACATTTATTTGCTGGCTTTTTTTTTAACCTTTTCCTTTGTGAATACAGATTTGATGATGCAATGTCACAGTTACAAGTACCTTTTTTTCTGCAGTCATAAATCCTTCATCTAGGGTGGTGTAGGTATGAAATATAAATTGCAAGAGGTAAATTACTGGTATTCTATTTTCATTGGAAATGTAACTTTAGTCCTGTTTCTATCACTGAATGATTTCCACAAACCACAACACTATTCTATAAAAAAACGATTTCTGGCCTTTTTGCTGTACCAATTGGTAAAATGTCCACTATATTTTTAATCAGTACCAGATCATAGAGCAAGCTTGTATTTTTAACATAGAGCTATGACTTTATTACTTGGGAGTTCTATTTTGATCTAAGTCCACACAGTGGGACAAGAGGAGAAAAGGGTACAAGTTCACAAAAGGCAGATTCACAGTGGCTGGCACGAAACAGCAGGCTCTTCAGACCCTCAGCGCCAGGCGGGGCTGACAGCTTCCACAGCCCTCACCAGTGCCCCAACCCTGAGCTGGAACTCTGGCCACCCAGTGTGTTGATTATTAAGCTATCAATAAAAGCTTAGAGCCGAAACGGGTTTGGCTCAATGGATAGAGCGTCGGCTTGGGGACCGAAAGGTCCCGGGTTCGATTCCGGTCAAGGGCATGTACCTTGCTTGCAGGCATATCCCCAGTAGGGGGTGTGCAGGAGGCAGCAGATCGATGACTCTCTCTCATCGATGTTTCTAACTCTTTATCTCTCTCCCTTCCTCTCTGTACAAAATCAATAAAATATATTAAAAAAAAAAAAAAAGGCTTAGAGCACTGACACTTTCCCACATTCTGGAAGAAGACACTGCATTAGCTGATGTCATCTCCAAAGTGGCTCCTGAGGATGAATGAGGGCGGGTGGCCAGGGTTAGGCCTGTGCTTGGAGAACGGTAAGACACTTGCCCATGTCCAGAGGCTTGCTCCCTCCTGGGCATCGGAGAAACCTGTCCGCCTCTGCAAACACGCCAGGGCGTGGGCCCCACTCCCTGCCTCCAGAGGCGGAGCTCCAGACAGGTGTAGCCTGGTGAGGCCTAACCAGCCATTCTGTGGGCCCAAGGTTCTGCCAGGCACATGCCCAGCCTGCCTTGGCACAGCTGGGATGGCTGCTCCGCGCTGCCTTTTGCGAGATGGCTGTGTGAAGAGGGACTTCTTCGGCCCAGAATTAGGCATCCATGAACGTTCGTTCCCTTCATAACTACAGGGAGGCCTTCACATGCACCGTGGCTTTTCAGACTTTGCTCCTCTGATAGGAGAAAGCCAGGTGTCCCTTTTGACTTCTGATTTATAGTTAGTTTGATTAAACAGTCTTCTGGTTTGGGTGCTGCTAATCTCTTATTTTAAAGATAAAAGGATTTGCCCTAACCGGTTTGGCTCAGTGGATAGAGCGTCGGCCTTCGAACTCAAGGGACCCAGGTTCGAATCTGGTCAAGGGCATGTACCTTGGTTGCAGGCACATCCCCAGTAGGGGCTGTGATCGATGTTTCTTTCTCATAAATGTTTCTAACTCTCTCTCCCTCTCCCTTTCTCTCTGTAAACAATCAATAAAACATATATATATATATTTTTTAAAGATAAAAGGAGCCGAAACCAGTTTGGCTCAATGGATAGAGCGTCGGCCTGCGGACTGAAAGGTCCAAGGTTCGATTCCGGTCAAGGGCATGTACCTTGGTTGCGGGCACATCTCCAGTGGGGGGTGTGCAAAAGGCAGCTGGCGATGATTCTCTCATCGATGTTTCTAACTCTCTATCCCTCTCTCTTCCACTCTGTAAAAAATCAATAAAATATATATTTTTAAAAAAGATAAAAGGATTTGTACATTCAAAACAAAAAGATGGTAATATTGAAATCAATCACCTTCGCAATTTCTGATAAAGAGGGGGAAAAAGTAAACCTGATTTAAATTTACTACTGATTTTCACCAAACTTTCAGGTTTCAGTTTATGAAACAGGATCCCAATCCCTCCCCCAGCTGCTGACACCCAGCCGGCTCAGCCCCGGGGGAAGCGCACGGCCTCAGGCCGTGGTGGTTCTGGAGTTCGTGGCGGCCCTGTTTCTCTGCAGCGGCGCCAGGATGACCCCCACGTTCCTCTCCTCGCTCTCGGCGCTGTACAAATCATGCTTCTCGATGTATTCTTGGACGAGATCCGGCACCAAGTAGCGGATGCTCTGGCTCCTGCGGAGGGCTCGCCGGATCTTGGTGGACGAGATGTCGTTGGTAATCCACTCGTTGACCAGGTGGATGTTGGCCTGGTGTCGCCACAGCACGTCCGACTCGTAGATGAACCTCTGAGCATCGTTCCCAGCCCGGGTGACGCACACCAGCCCGTAGCTCCCCACGATGTTGGCGATGTCCTCGCGCTTCCACAGGTCGGGGACCCCGAAGGACTCCAGCAGATCCGCCCCGCACAGCAGCTTGACCCTGGGCACGTCTGGGACGAAGAAGAAAACACGGCGTCAGGGTTTGCTTTGTAATAACTCCCTGCGCCAAAAGGAATGGGTGTGTTTTTCTGGAAAGAAGGTTCCGCTTTTTCCGATTCAGATTCTCAAAAGAGACGGAGGACAGCTGAGAAACTAAGGACTCTGCAGGGGAAGGAGCTCAGGATGCCTTGCACCCCCCTTCCCTCGGTCAGCAAATGTACCAGGGCGTTTTCCAGGCATCCCGTTTCCTGAATAGAAAATGGAACTAGATCTGGCTGGTGTGGCTCAGTGGTTGAGCACCGACCTATGAACCAGGAGGTCACAGTTCGATTCTGGTCAAGGGCACATGCCCTGGTTGTGGGCTCCATCCCCAATGAGGGGCATGCAGGAGGCAGCCAATCAATGACTCTCTCTCATCACTGATGTTTCTATCTCCCTCCCCTTCCTCTGTGAAATCAATAAAAATATAGTATTTAAAAAAAGAAAATGGAAATAGAAGCTTATCGGCTCCAGTTGGTACGTCCTGGGAAAACATGCAGACCTTTTCTCTGCGGCTCTAGGGGCTTCTTCTGACTAACTTCTGATCTCTGTTCCGTCCACTTCCTCTTCCGGCCAGGCCTCTCCAGCACAGGGGAGTCCTGCCGCTCGCCGCCGCTGGCCTCCAGCCTCTCCTGGTGGTGTCTGTGAAACAACAAAATGACAGCACAGCCCTCTTCCTCTCAGAGCTCAACCACACATCGTCCCTCTGCACATGCCCACGGGCCTCGGGCCCAGCGCTGAAGGAGGTAACGGTAAAAACCTTCAGCCGCCAGTACACCCGGTGCCCTGTCAGTCAGAATGGAGGCTGGAGTCCCGGGTCCCGGCCATCGGGAACGGAAAGCAAGGAAGATGCTGGGAGCACAACACGGCAGCTGTTCAATCCTCAGCTTTGTGTGTCTGGGTCATAACAACACGAGTGCACGTCATTGACTATGTGCAAAGCACAACTAAACCCTTTGCTTGGATTATCTGATTAACTGTTCTCAACACCCCATGCCATAAATAATAATAAATTATAATTATTGTCTTAGCCCGGGATGGTGTTGGTGAGAGCATCATCCCATACACCAAAAGGTGGCAGGTTCGATTCCTTGTTAGGGCACACACCCCAGTTGTGGGTTTGATCCCTATTTCACTCTAACATCAATGTTTCTCTCTCTCACTCAAATCAAGAATGTTTTTAAATAATAATTATTCTATCAATTCTATTTTACAAAAATTCCATTATTATTATTTAAAAATATTTTTATTTATTTCAGAGGAGAAAGGAAAGGGATAGGTAGAAACATCAATGATAAGAGAGAATCATTGACTGGCTGCCTCCTGCACGCCCCCTACTGGTTGGGGTTGAGCCCACAACCTGGACGTGTGCCCTTGGCTGGAATGGAACCTGGGACCCTTCAGTCCGCAGGCTGCCACTCTATCTACTCAGCCAACCCAGCTAGGACTCTGTTCTATAATCATCCCCACTATGGAGGGGGAAAGCTCAAGTCCCAACTCCAGCGCCTAGCAGAGTCCCTGGGACATAGGAGGCCTTTAATGACAACCTGATTGAGTGAATGTCTTGGCTATTATAAAGCGCCTGCATGGCTGCCACCATTACAGCAGAGTTGCCTGTTATCCCCACTGAGAGGACACTGACTAATTGGCCAGGCTCATTTAGCTTGTAAGCAGCGGAGCCGGGATTTGAAACCTGGCAGTCTGTCCCAGAGCCCACACTCTTGACCTCTGAAGAGTGTGTCTTGACCTAATAATAGAGAACCTCAATGCCACGGCTAAGGTCCTGGAGGGGACAGGTGCCCGAGGCCGAAAGGAAGGCCTACAGGCAGCACCTGTGTCTGGCTTCTTCTCGGCAGGACACACAACTGCAGTTACTCAATTAACATGAGCCACACTCAAGGAGCAAACCCTGGGTCCTTGTGTCCCCTACCCCTTCCCTCCTGAATTTCCGAGCTAAAGTGTAATGGACAGCAGGCTGCTAGGAAGCCAGAGGGGGTGGGAAAGGCAGGGACTCAGAGCCTGGTGTCTGACAAGTAGCTGTGCTAGTGTCGCCTGCAGCTCAGTGTCCAACTCTACCCAGAATACAGTGCCCAGGTCCTGGCCAACTCTACCCAGAATACAGTGCCCGGGTCCTGGCCAACTCTACCCAGAATACAGTGCCCGGGTCCTGGCCAACTCTACCCAGGATACAGTGCCCGGGTCCTGGCCAACTCTACCCAGAATACAGTGCTCGGGTCCTGGCCAACTCTACCCAGAATACAGTGCCTGGGTCCTGGCAGCAGGTTCTGGGCGTGAGGGAGATCCTGCCGATGAGGTTCACTAGTGATTGAAAAGAAGGGAGAGAGGCCATCTTTCTGCAGCTGTGAAGCCGGATGAGTCATGTGACAGCATGAGCGAGGCGGCCAGACTGATCCGTGGTCTGGTCACCAAGCTCAGGGGACGGGGTGGTTGAACAGAAGGTGGTGGCGGCCAAGACAGGAAGTTAGTTTCCTGGACTCTGGCTGCGGCTAAGGAGGGTGCCCTTGAACAAGCCCGACTCCCACTCCTCAGCCCCAGGGACCGTGTTGGAAACCCGTAGCTCAGACACCAACGGCACAAAAACGTGGCCCAACGCCAAGGAAGGCGCTGACCCGTTCCCGGAAGCCCACAGGGCCGACCTCCCACAAATACCTGAGCACCTTCGCAGTCTCTACCCACTCCTTCTGCAGGCTCTCCCAGGTGTCCACCTCCACCCAGCCGGAGCTCTTGGTGGCCAGCTGGGCCATGACCACTCGGTGGTGGGCAGAGATGAGACCTTTCTTCTTGTAGGCGTCGCCGACGGGAGAAATGATGCCTTTGGTAACTCTGTATTTTCCTGGTAGAGAGTTCGGTTCAACATGAGGCAAAACAAATTAGAGTTTATGCACAGGAAATAGTACCACGATATGATTTTAATCAAATATCCCCTTTCTTACTTTTTTACGCAGGGATTCACGTTCATGCATTCATTCATAACATATACAATTGACAACACACAGAACTGCTTTGTAAAATGCCTCAATCAAGTTGTACTGTCCACCTCTAGTATAAAAAGAGCCCCTATCTCCTCTACCTCTGATAGCTGGACACTATGAAGTTTAAAATTTTTGTCCATGTGATGGAAAAACTGTATCTCATTTTTTATTTTAGTTTCCTGCTTATGAGTGAGTCTGAGCACCCCCCCCCCCCCCCATCCATCAGCATAGAACATGAGCATTTGGGTAACAAGATAAATCTCGCCTACGGAGGGAAGGAAGTTTTCCTCAACCCTCTTAGGGTGGGTCCCTGGCTGGGTCTGAAAATTAAACTGAGAAAGATAAATGAACAGGAGGAGAGCACACCCATTTGATTAATGTCAGCTTTACAGGACACGGGAGCCTTCCTAAGGAAGGGGAGACCCCAGGAAGCAGGTGAACCTGCATGTTCAATGCTAGGTTTGCAGAGTAGACAGCCGTGGAGAAACAGGAAGGGGCAAAGAGCAGGAGGTAAGTGTAGCAAGTTTGGGGAAACTAAGGCAGGCTCCTTTATTCGGATTCTTCCTGGCACCCCTTTGTTTGCAGAGGTAAGCATGTGCCTTATACGAGAGGGTGTATGAGAGGGTGCCTCTCGTATAGGGTTTTGTGGCCTGCTTCAGAGGAGAAGGGTGATGGTGGGGGTGGGGAAGGTCCGAGTGACTGCCCTGATTCTGCAGGTTTCTCAAACTCCTTCGGCTCAAAATATCCAATATGCCCCGGGGCCATATTTGGGGATAGTGCTCTGAACGCCACCGCTGCTTTTGTGACGGTTCCTACCTGTTGCGTTCATGTGGTCCTTGGCCAGCTCAAACAGCCGGAGGTGCATGTTGGTAATCGGGTTAAAGGAGCCACAGGCGAGGAGAACCACCTCCGTCTTCTGGGGATTTTCCATGCTGGGATGCTGAAGGTGTTGATCTAAGTGGCACACTCTGGCACCTCCGGGGTTATCTGTCTACAAAGGAAAAGGAACACCAGTCACAGGCCTCTGATGCCCTCTGTGCTCTCATTCCAAACAGATGGATTAAAATACTTGGCTTCAGTGACTGCTCCATGAATTATAAACAGTGGCCCCATTTCTCCACCCTTCCTTCTCAGTGTGAACTTACAGCTCCTGCCACAAAGGATGGGGAGCTCCTTCCCACTTTCTGTCATTTGTGTTGGCCAAAAGGATGTGGCAGATGTGACAGTATGCCAGGTGGGGCTTTGCACACTCTCACTTTCTTTTGCATTCCTGCCTCTGCCACGAGACAGGCCCAGGCCATCCTGGGGGAAGGTGGTATCGGCTGAGCCTGGCCCAGAACAGCAAATCCAGGCTCACGAGCAAAAAGGAATTGTTCACTGCGGTTTTATGATTGCTGTGGCCACAGATAACAGACACAGTGACAGCATCATCTTCAGTGTAACTCCCCAGCAACCTGCCCTTCAAACCAGTGTTCTGCCTCTAAATCAACATGGTCATATCACTTACTGCTGATAACAGTTTACACTCTACACACCTCTTTTTCATTCAAATTATTCCATTTGATCTTTCCATAAACCTACTGAAGTAATGGGAGACATGTGATCTGAAGCTTTTATTAAAAACTTTTATTAAATGAACTAGATTCATGCAATGGGCCTTCCTTCCCCTGGCTGCTGGCACCGGTTTTCCTTTGGCATCCAGGACCCAGGCCTTCGCTCTGGCTGTAGCAGAGAAGCCAAGCCTCTTCAGTCTTCGCTCTGCACTTGCATATGCAAATTAATATCTTTGATGGGTTAATTTGATACTCACTCCTGATTGGCTGTGGGTGTCACAGAGTTATGATCAATTTGCATGTTTCTCTTTTATTAGTGTAGATATAGAGTGAGAAATCTCAGGGTGACAGCCAGCGGTCATATCCTGCTCACCAATCCCTAAAGCAATTCCAGCCAACTTTTCCAGTGATTTCTTTTGGTAGATTCTAGTCTTTGTTGAAAATCACCTTATCCCAGAATTCTGAAGGCACTACTTCGAGAGTGCAGTGCTAACAGTGAAAAATCCAAAGTCATTTTTTTTTCTTAATTCTCTCCCGGAGGATATTTTTTCCATTGATTTTCAGAGAATGGAAGGAGGAAAGGTGGGGGAAGGGGAGGAGGGAGAGAGAAACATGGATGTGAGAGAGACACATCGATTGGTTTCCTCCTACACGCCCCAACAGGGAACAGGGATTGAACCTGCAATCCAAGTCCATGTCCTTCCCCGGAGCACTGGCTGCGGCTCTAACCACTGAGCCTGCCGGCCGGGCCGAAGTCACTCCAAGTGTGACGTTTCTCTTCTCTCTTGAGGACTGTAGGATCTGCCCCTTGCCCAGGGATCTGAAATTTCTGTGATGCCCTGTGGTGCGGCTCTACTCTCCCCCACTGTGCTGGACACCGAGCAGGCCCTCTCCAGCTCAAAAGGCATCACCTTCACTTCTGAAGACGCCCACGTGTGGTCTCCTGTGTCCCATTGGGAATGCCTGTTGTTTAGAGCTGAAGGGTTGGGTTCAGCTGGAGCCCGGTGACAACTCCAGCCCCACCCATCTCAGGTTTCAGGTGCCCTTCCCCAGGGAGACTGAGCTGGGAGCTGGGAGAACAGGACGCTGAGGTCAGGAGGGGGTGCCCAGGGGAGCCGTCTACTGCACAGGGAGGATGGAACAAAGAGCTCGAAGCCCGCCCCCCCTCGGGGATGCGCTCAGGTCCCCAGGGACTCCCAGGGGAAGGGCTCCGGAAGCTGGGCTCTCCGCTTAAAGAAAGCTTTCTCCCTGGTCAGTCAGGACCCGCCTTAGTTATCTGGCGCGGTCCTGTTAACCTCGTGCACACAACCGACCTGAGCTCAGACTGAACTAGACCCTCAAAGTCAAGGAGACTTAAGTCACGGTGAGCTCCGGCCGTAGCCCAGAAGGGCTTAGAAACATAGGGACCTGCCCCTCGGGAGAGGACCTCCCTGCTCCTGTGGGCACCTGTGTGGGCCCCTGTGCGGGCCGCGGGGAGGTGGTCTGGGCGCTCTAACAGCCTGTCTGGGGGCCGCCTTGCTTTGCTCCAGGTGCTCCAGGTCCGCTGTCGTCATGATCCCCTTCTGTCTGGCCCGCTCAGCCTGCCGGGTGCCTGCTGGCGGCCCAGGTCTGACCAGCTCCAGCTCTAAGGGCCCCCCCCAGCCCAGTGAGGCGAATGTTATTTCTTTCTGAGTCCTGACATGTAACTGAAATGTACTTTCCATTTTCAAGTTCGATTTCACGGGCCTTCTTAGGTTTTAAAAACCCTGATGTGGAGACAGCAATGAAACATTTTCTAAACACGCAGCTAGTGTGTAAAACATGAACTTTCCCAGAAAGAACAGGAGTTGTGTGGCTGCCGTCGAGTTTCAGGGTGCTGCATTCGCTGACTGCCCACCTCTGGGATTCTACCTCTAAGAAGAAGCTGCTCCTTTAAAAAAAAAAAAAGTACCTTTAGGCATGTAACTGTATTCTAGTCTAACAACATGCCATTGCGTTCAACAACCTGGGGTATAAGAGTACCTTCACTGAGGATAATCTCTGGAGGGTAAATCTGATTTCTACAAATACCCTAAAGGCATTCAGTGCTAAACCTAATTAATAAAGTAAATACTAAAGATGACTAAAAGAGTTTATGGTGAAGAGCTAAAACTATTAGTTAATGACGAAGATTTTCTTATGCACAGAAACCATATACACGTAACCTCAAAAGTATCCAAAATGTCCTGGCAGTAACAGCAGACTGCACTTGGTGGTTAGGTTGTGGTCGGCAGGGGAGCCCTCAGTTTATAAGTGATGCTCAGCGTGAACCATCTGGCTGGAGGCAGAGGCAGCACTACATAGGGGCCCAGCTAGGACTCTCAGACCTGGTTCACACCCTAGCTCTACCTCTTTTTAAAAAAAATATATTTTGCCGAGACCAGTTTGGCTCAATGGATAGAGCGTCGGCCTGGGGACTGAAGGGTCCCAGGTTCGATTCCAGTCAAGGGCGAGTACCTTGGTTGCAGGCATATCCCCAGTAGGGGGGTGTGCAAGAGGCAATTGATTGATGACTCTCTCTCATCGATGTTTCTGGCTCTCTGGCTCTCTCCCTTCCTCTCTGTACAAAATCAATAAAATATATTAAAAAATAATAAAATAAAAAATATATTTTATTGGTTTTGTACAGAGAGGAAGGGAGAGGATAGAGAGTTAGAAACATTGATGAGAGAGAAACATCGATCAGCTGCCTCCTGTACACCTCCTACTGGGATGCGCCTGCAACCAAGGTACATGCCCTTGACCAGAATCGAACCTGGGACCCTCTCAGTCTGTAGGCCAACACTATCCACTGAGCCAAACAGGCCAGAGCCTAGTTCTACCTCTAACTATGAGGTGTTTGTCCTAAGACACTTAATCTGAGTCTCGGTTTCCTCATCTATCAAATGGGGAGCCACAGTCCTATCTCATTGGAATTGTGCTTATTAAGTGAGAAAATGCATGTAAAATGACACAATTGTCTTTTCTCAATGCTGAGTATTAATAACTCAATACTCAGTATTAATAACTCATGCTATTGCTTGTGGATTGCCTTAGCACATTAATTTAGTCATGAAAAAGGAACCAAAGTTCTGAAGACTCCTTAGAAATCAGTATCCACAGTGCCTGTGACACAGTAGGAGCTGAATAACGGTAGCTACTTTTAATATCCTTCCTTCCTCCCTCCCTCACTTCTTTCCTTCCTTCCTTTGTTAATCCTTCCCTACAAAAAAATTTTCCCATTGATTTTTTGAGAGTGGAAGGGAGAGAAGGGGAGACATACACACACACACACACACACACACACACACACACATTGATGTGGGACACATTGATTGGTTGCCTCCTGCATGTAGGGTCAAATCTGCAACCCAGGAACATGACCTTGACTAAGAATCGAACCTTCTGTCGGTATGCCGATGCTCTAATCACTGAGCAACACAGGGCAAGGCACTTTTAATATTCTTATTGCAATATTCTTAGACATAATTTTGCTTTAATGGGATGGATCTCAATTCATCTTTGCTATGTGTAAAACTCTCTCTCTGTGGTTTAATGTTACATTATCCTGAAACAGAGCCTGGCCCTGGTTTCTGAAAGCCAGTTCATTAACTAAGTGGTTATGTGAAATGTAACTCACTATGTCCTGTACAGCCGAGGGACCGTGTCCTTGTGTGTGATCACCACTCAGGCTCCCCAGTTTTACGTTCTGCTAAGGTAAGTTCTTTCCCCAGCCAAGCCCTCACCTGGCAGCCGGGCCTCTGGGTCTCAGCTGTGGGGGCAGTTCGGGTGCTCTCTGAGATTCCTGTCAAGAGTTTAATTGCAGTCTGCCCCATTATGTTTGCCCCTATCATCGATGGGAGCCACCCAATTCACCTCTTGGAAAAAATGCCGTGAGCATCACGGGATTTGGGCAGGCTGAGTCTCATTTCATAAGGAGAGACAATGAGGCACCAATGTCTCCATGTATTCCCCACGGAGCAGTCCCAACAGCCTAGTGTCACCTGACGTCTGTAGGGCTGAAGGCGACAGGCACACTCGACCAGGTTATGCCTCGATGTGTCCGTTTAGATTCGAGTTGGAAATTAGTCTTGGCAGAAAAAAAAATCAGTTCACTTTCTTATTGGACAAATGAAGCAACTGCAAGTTGGCACACTCAAAATAAGAGAATTGCACTTCTGAGAACATTGATACTGGACAAGTACCTGAAAACTGAGAATCCACTTAAATGACGGAGAAGGGGCGGGAACTGACATTGTAAATGGCCAACGTCAAACCTGCCAGCTTCTATTACAGGATGTTTGTGTGCAGTAAAGCATATTCCCTTACTCCGAAAAGCTGGAATTTCCACCGAATGTTTTTCTTGTTTTTCCTTTCTTTAAAAAAAAACAACAACTTTCTTTTATTGATTTCAGAATGAATGGGACAGGGAGAGACAGAA